TATTCTAATACATTTAACACATTTCATCTAATTAATTAGTTTTAACTAAATCATATTATGTTATATTATGTAGTACGTTGATGAATACAAGTGTTCTACTTATTTAAAAGATCATTTGGACGAAATTAAGGAGGATTGGTGTCAATATATTATTGAAATGAGAATTTTATAAGGTATTGTGACACTTTCATTGATGAGAATTTTGAGTATATATAAGTTTGAGTTAATGAGATAATATGTTGTCATAGTGTGGTAAATTGTTGCAATATTTTTCTTGTTACGTGGAAGGTTAGTTAGGATGGTATTGGATTTAAATTCAAACAAAATTTTGTTTGTATGGTATGAATCGGGTAATTTTTAATGGTGGATTATAACAAAATCGGGGAATTTTATTTTTATGTATGAATCGGGGAATTTTTAATGATGAGTTATAACAGAATTTTGTTTGTTTGTATGGACGGAATCGGGGAATTTTGTTTGTATGATATGAATCGGGGAATTTTGTTTGTATGAATTTTGATTTGTTTTTGTTACATTGATTTTTAAGTGTTATATATAGCTTGACTCTGATATATATATGCCTTTGTTGGTTTTGTTTCAGGTAGGTGCATATGTTGAAGATATATAGATTCATTTAGGATTCTTCATTGTTGTTGTTTGTAGAGAAGATAATAGAGAATATAGCAGCCCTAGAAGATAACAATATGTACATTTGGTGCATATTTATTTGTTTATAAAGCTGTATATGTAAATATTTAAATTTATTTTTATATAAATTATTAAATTCTTTAAGTTGTATTTATGTATATATAAATTGTAAGATTAAATTTGTATATATAAATATGTAAATTTGGTGCATATTTATTGGATTGAAGCTTCAAATTTATAAATTCTAGTGCAAATTTGAAAGACAACGCTTAAATTTTAAGTGATTATGTGTACAGGGTGCTTAAAATATAAGCTGAATATATTAAAAAATCCTTGAATATTAGACAGCGCTTTAAACCAAAAAGCGCTGCCTATTATGGGGAATAGAAAGCGCTTATGAAATAATAAGCACTGCCTAAAAGGGGACTTTAGACAGCGCTTGCATAAAATATAAAAAAAAATAAAAAGAAATACATTAGACAGTCCTTTTTCTATAGTGTGCCTATAACAGCGCTTTTACTTTAGACAACGCTTGAGGATGTGTTGTCTAAAGTAAAAGCGTTGTTGTAGGCACAGTATAGAAAGCGCTTACATTGTTAAAAGTGCTGCCTATAGGGGCCTTTAGAAAACGCTTATTCAATAAAGCATTGTCTAAGGTCTACATTAAGCAGTGCTTTCACATAGACTAAAAGCGCTGCCTATGGTTACAGTAGCGCAGGAATAGAAAACACTTATAAGCGTTGTCTATGGCCAAAAAAAGCGTTGTCTATGTGCTTGTTTGGCATAGTGTGATTTTGTTTTTGTTGTTGTTATTATTGTTGTGGTTGTTGATGAGAAGGATTTATAATTTATCAAGAAATTTGATGTTTTAAAGATTAAAATGAAAAAAACAGGTCAAATTGTTTTTCGTAAACAGGACTTTACCCCACGATTATTGTTAAAAATTGAGGTAAAAAGGAGCGCAATATTGAAAAATAAAAAAATACAATTACTGGGGATCGAATCCATGATCAGTGTCACATTTCCCATCAGTTATTCAATAATTGAGATGTAAACAAATAGCTTTTTATGTTGCATTTCGTTACCTTGCTTCTGTAGCCTAAGTTAAACGCATTTCGTGTCGATGTTAGATGTGTTTTTTATAGTAGCGTTAATTTCTTTTGTCAAAAACATCTTCATGTCATATAATTTTCCTTGTCGAATAAGCTAAATCACTGCAAACCTTTTCAAAATTCCTAACATATTTTGAAGAGAGAGTGATCTTAATCTTGTGGATTTGTTTAAGCGATTTCTCCATCTTGTGGATTTATTCTTGAGATTCAACTATCCTAATCTTGTGGATTTGTTCTTGAGATTCCTCCAAACTATGCTTAGTGGGTCTCAAGGTTATCTAATCATTGTACACAAAAATGCACTAAGTCCCAAAATAATTGATAGACGAGTCAAATTTATTACCTTAGTCGAAATGTGTTGTACGTCAAAAACTTATAACATGGTCACCTTCTACTTAACATTTTCACACTTGTCATAAAATTTTAACGTCAATTATTCAAATTCTCAGACTAACACATGCCCCCCATAAATTTCATTTTTTATCATATGTTCACACAATGGAAGAAAGTTTCATTTTTAGTAAACTTTCAACAATGTTCAAAAAAGTTTGCATACGTCGTCATCATCATGATCATTTTTACCAAATCGTCATCATCATGATCACTTTTACCAAATCGTCACTTCAATGAATGTGTGTGCGCTCACCCATCATAATTCTGATTTCCTAGGTCATCGTGAGCCAAAAAATTAACTCACATTAAATGAAAATTATTCAATTTAATTTTACTCCAAATTCAAAACGCAAACTGTAAAAAAACTAAAGGCCACGTGTCCAGATTCTTAGAGGGAAAATTAAAATTTTTCTCCCACATCTATATATATGCACCTTACTCTCTTCCTTTTTCTTTTTTTTTTTGCTACTTCTCCTCCTTATAATCCTAAGTAATTTTATCCTCTACAAGCTTCATCTTTAGTTTCTTCTTCAACTCTTTAAAATAATGACTTCTTCCTCCATTCAAACATCTTGCAATCTTGTTTACTGGTCATCTTACTCCTCCTACTCTTCCCAGTGAACACACCTCCTATATCCATGAACCACCAACGGAGAAAGAAAAATCTAAAATATGGGCTTTCTGAATATTAATAACTTTTTTTCCATTTTAGGTAATGTTCATGTGTTTTTGAGTCCATTTCCTAGGCCCTCAGCAAAACCTAATAAGATAAAGAAGTTACATCATTGTTAACGTTGCGGCAAACCTCGTGTGTTTGAGGACACAACTTATTAGGTAGATTTTATGAGTTCAACCCAACATGTCTTTTATTCTTCTCCTACCTCCCACAATGAAGCTTATATCAATTGATTGGACAAAGTAGAAAAGAAAAAAAAGAAGAAAAAAACAAATTTGGAAAAACCAAGGCCTGTATGAGTTGATTAACTTATTGAATTTTTTTTATTTTTGAAATTTTATAGTATTTAAAATTATTTTATTGGTAAATAATTAAAAAGGAAAATTTTTAAATATGAACACAAAAATAAGAGGGAAATTATAAAACAGTGGGCAGATATTTGAAAATTAAAAAGGAATAAAGAGTAAAGAAACCGAGGGGAACGAAAATAGGGGGAAAAATGGGATTGCATCCATCTGGAACTCAGCATGGAAGTATAATATGCCCTTTGTATTGTCCTAACAAAAAATTTCTACTCATAAAAAAATTGGAGATAGTGAAATGTTTCTGAACCAGGACGAAATATTGGACAAAAGGGAGTTAGTGACGCAAGAATATTTTAAAAATATCAGATATATATCGAGCAGCCACATACTATTATGCTATGTTTTTGCTATCTCTTCTGTTCAAGTGTTCGATAGAATCTAATACAGTAAAGTCTTACACATATCATCTCAAACTTTAAGAATATGAGATTACCAACATAGTCTTCCAAACTATATATAGAGCGCACGAAGTTCTTTGGTTAACAAAAACAAGAAGCCAGTGAAAGACATCTAGCTGAGTAATTATATGTTGATTGTCTCATGGAGTTCCTCTGAATGCTTCATATAAGAGGCTATTTATTTGGTCCATAGCCATTAGATATCCAGGATATATAGTCCTTCTTCAATGAAGTGTTTGGGGGAACTCCTAGAATTCAACCAACAATGTCCATAAAAAAAGCTACATTTAAACGGTCCTGCTTTTTTTCCTCCTATTCTACAATAGATTCTTAGAAAATACAATTGTTCTAATATTTATAATATTTATTTAACTTTCTATTGTCATATTAAAATAGCCTCACCTTTTTCTAATTTATTTACATATATCTATAATATAAGAAAAAGTAGTTCTACCCAAAATCTCTTTTTTGTCCTTTTGCTCAAATTACATGACACGTGGGTAACCTATTTGAGTGTTCCAAATTTGTTTCTACAAAAAATAGCACAACTCTTCCATATTCTTCTACGCTTGTGCAGTTGTGTAACCTCCCTCTCCTCCTTCTTATTCATGATCGAATTTGTAACCGTTTACAATAATTAACCGTTACAAAACGGCTGTCCATTCCACTGTCAAATTACAATAATCCAATTTCACTTTCCATTTATCTTTCAATTTCCCTTTCATTCTTCACAGTCCAATTTCAATGGATTCCGAGTTCATTCGCGGGGTGATATTAAATATGTGGACGTGGAAACAATCCAGCGAGTTCATTCTTTCATGTGCGCGCGGGTGTTGGTTGGTATTGTAAAATTGGTACAACAAAAAGGCATGAAGGGTAAACTGGGAGGCTGGAAAGAATTCTTGAACAATCATGATAAGAAATTTGTCGTCGGGTCTTTGTTTCTCCATCTTCGACTGATTCAGTAAGAACGATCACCATTTCTCCTTCTCCGACCCTTTTACATTCCTATTAACATAATAAAATTGTGTATTTGGTCTTTTCACTGTTTTTTTTCATCTACACAGAGATGTTGCCTCAAATCAGATAAAGGGCCTTAGAATAACCCAGAAGTTATGAAGATTAGTCTATGTATTGTAGTACTTACTTGCCCCTTCTGATTGTTTATCTAGTGATATACTAAATCTCATATCTCTTTTTGATTTGATATATTTTTCAGATTTATTGAATAAATTGTTGAATGGTAGAAACCTAACAGGTAAAAATTTCTCTTAATTTGTTAATTTTAACATCAAATAATGGTTGTATGTTTTCTAATTTTGTTTATCTTGTAAAATCTTGTAGGAATAAATATAAATCGAAATAACCAACTGTAAAAATTAAGGGGTATGTTTTGAAAGAAACATAAATGGTTGTTGTTTTTGATATTTCTTATGGTTTATCTGATGTATTCATTTCAATCTGGTTTTTGAGATTTAGGGCTTTTGAAATAAAGTTATTAGATTTATGGTTTATTAGGGTTTCATTTAAATCTCATAAGTTAGTTATGTGTTTGTATACATGGTTTCTGTTTTGGGTTTTACTCTTATGATTTCCAAGTGATATACCTTGTGTTTGAAACAGTTGGGTTCTGCGGCGTGAATGCGAGTAAAGAAGCCATTAAGTTTTCACCTTTCAACGTACATAATTTGTTAACTTGGTTTTATCATTTGAATTTATGGCAGTTTATTTGAACCTTGTTGAAATTGTGGCTTCCTAGTTTTTCAAGCGACATACACGAAATACACTGAGAAGCATCTTTGGTTCTTGAAGATTCAGTTAGAAATATTTACACTATTGTTGCATTTTGTGCTGGTAATAAGTAATGGAGCTCTTATCAATTCCTTTACATTTGCTGCTGATGTTGCCAAGTCATATACATGCTGCCAATTTTCCCTTTGACATTAGATCAGTGTTCTGTAAGTAGCCTGCTTCTCTATTGCTTTCATGTTAAAATCACATTAGATCAATTTTCCCCTATTCAAGATAACTTACAGCTTATTATGTGAAAAAAATTTACTTGTATTTTATCATTTGTTATAGAAATAAAATAACTTGTGCATTAACACTTAATTACGATAAGTGTTTATGATATAAGCATTCCAATAATCCTTTTACCCAAACAGTGCCTAGAAAGATTCGACATAAGATGCTCATGACGTCAGACTAACCTTACCTTCCTATTAAAGATGATTTCTAGTTTGATGTTATTGCATATTTAAAAACAGTTTATGTACTGAATAATTCTGAATGTGCAGGATTCGGCTCATTGGGCCTCATGACTTTTGTGTAGGTGTGATTGGTCTAACATGTTTGTGCTTCTTCACAGATGGTTTTCTCATCATCTGCAACTATTTAGGTCAACCTGTTAGTTTTTCATTTAGTGTTATTCTACTTTTTTAAAGTATAAACTCTCTGAATTACGATAAGTTTGTTTTGGGTTCTAATGAATTTCCTTTATTTTTCCTTTGACATTTCACATTACAGCTTTTCCTTGAAGAAATTATGCGAGACATTCAGAAAGCTCAGCCAGATTGGAGAATCATTATACTTATATACTTCAATCCAACCGCGGCACATGAAAGTGGTATATTCAGTGAAGATCCCAGGGGCATCCTAAATAATCTTACTCCTTATATACAATAAATAGTTGTTGGAAGATTACCTGAGCTCAATGTATATATGGTCACGATTATCCTACAAGGCATGGCTTATGGTACATACACGTCAATATACTGCAATTATTTCTTTACACCACCATATAACAATTACACTTTAAAAAAATATTACATTAGAGATTAAATATGAAAGAATATATGGTCTAGGAACTGGGTTAGTATTGCTACCTGATAGATTTATATTAATGCTTAATTTCATAGATACAATTGTTTCTCAAACCATCTAATATTTTCTCTCCAGTCCTAAGATAGAAGTGTTGAAGAAGCTTCAAAAAATGCCAGAACACAAGGACTGACAGTACAATTAAGATTTTTGTGCATTCAGAAACTAGTTTGATTGACATAAATTTTAAGATGATATAGGAGAAACTAATTGTAGTTAGATCACTGGATTTTATATATAGGTAAAATTCTTTTCTCATTATGTCATTATAAGTGCTTTTTGGAATTGAATAATAATTGTTAAACTTGGGTGTTTGGATTAGTGGATTGTGGGTTCTACACTCAGAAAGAGAGGGAGGAAGGTGCGGCTCGTATCCCACCCGGTACTCTTCCACCACCGCCGGTTTATGATGGTTCGTTTTACATTCAACACGATGACAAAGTAGTGTAAATATATTTTCAATATTCATTTTTTTTAGAGCACGAAGTCTTGAATATGAATCAATAACATCTTCATTGTGCATTTCCTGATTTGATTTAGTGCATTAAACTCATTTCGTTATTTATATTTGTATTTTTTAGTCAAAGTTTGTTGCCAGTGTATATTTCTGCTACAACCCGTGTGACTGGTATTTCTGCATATGTATACCATTTGATGAAAATATACAGTGGCAGTATCCATAGAATTCAAGGATAGCCACTTGAAAATCATGGACTGTTGTAATATTCTAAATTTGTAATAAAATATAATTGGATTGGAGTGAGTTTTGGCACACCACTCTAAGAATTTTCAAATATAATCGTTTCCACAATTGTTGAGGCCAACTATCAAGGTATGTAATCGGTATGAATACAAGAAGTACATTATGTAACTTAACAAGAATCTATTCGAACACAAAATCTTATTGTCCTATCTGTATTCATTTTCTTTAGACCAGATGTTTATAGCGGGTAGTTGATCAAGAATCCTGGTGGAACAAAGGAGGGAGTAATGTTGTTGGTGGGATTGAGGTGAGTTATTTAGGATAGTTGAGATGTTATCTATAATTTCTGAATAACCCAGGAGGTTATAAAAGGGTAGTGATAATGTGGTGGTTCAGAAGATTCAAAAAGGGTTATAGTTATTCATTCTAAATTTTATTTTGATATTTGAGACTTTATGATTTGTTATTAACTAGTTCATCAACCATATTTGGTGGCTTAGTATTTATTTTAAACTTATTTCTATATCTCCTGTTTGCAGTTTGGCCAAGGGCTTCAGGTGAGAAAAGCTAATGTTTGAAATTCAATTTAAAACATTTGAATCGGTCTTTGCTTTAATACTTTTGTGAAATGTTGTTGGCTGAAACAGTTGATACTATTATAATTTACAAAAAGCAACGTATATGATTTGGAAATTGGATGACATATATAACAATGTTAGTGTTGTTAAACATTGTTTGAACAAATTATATAGAAAATTAAAATTCATGCAATTAGTTAACATGTCATTATAGCTTTTGTTAAAATTATGTATCAGATTTGATCCTTTTACTGGCATTTACGAAATGGATTTCTTTGTTGTGTTAAAGCATGTTGGTTACCGTGTCATACGTCTCCGCCGTTTTAAGGCATGTGTTGGAATCCAGCACCGTATCACACCCCAAATTTGCCTTGCATTTATTTATGCTTAGATTTCTTTTAATTAAATCATATTATTTAATTTTCATATTTTATGGGGAGGTTAAAGCATAAAAAAAGGAATGCGTCGATTTAAAATGGGCCATCAATATTTGATAACCCATTAGGATTTAAATTGAAAGTCCATTCCAAATTGATGGAGGTGTATTTGTTTCAAAGAGGGTATGAACGAATCATAAGGCTCATTTAGATTAATTGCTGTATAAAGCATTTTATTTTGTTTTAAGCCCATTATTTAAGAAACAGCGGCCTATTTCAGTTTTTTGAGTTTGTTTGAAAAAATATTTTTGTTATGACTTTATTATTATTACTATTATTATTATTTATTTATAATAATTAATAATAATTATACTAATGTTTGTTTTTATTTAAGGCATTATTAAAATTAATTCCTGTCTTAAAAGAGAAGTGTTACGACCCATCTAGTTTCTGTTTTTTTTTTTATATAAAAAATGTTTGTTTTCGTTTTTAGATTATAAACATTATCATCAACATCATTTTTTATTATTACTATTATTAAAATTATAACTAATATTATTTTTATTAATCACTATTATTTTTAATTATACTTATATCACATTATAAAATTATATTTTGTTTGATGGTTAAAAAGACATTTCTTATAAAAAAAGTGGAAATCCAATTCCAATCACTACAAGCCCAGTACAAATCAGACAGAGGGTCCAAAACGTCTAAAAAAGCATTTCATTGAAAAGAAGCGCAGACCCATTTATTGTTGTTTCAAAAAGTGGCCCAAATAAGTGTCACAAATTGTTACTGTGGAGATTAATGGCACGCGCATGCTATTCATCAGCCTTGATGAACGAAATCAAAAAGCAGTAATTACAGAAAATAGATTTTAGTAAATCTGGAAACATCATTCATGGCAGAAATACAGAATTCAATAGCGCACATTGATTTACAAACAATAATTCAAATTGATGCCTAATTCGGAAAAAACCTAATTAACACAATTAAATTTACAAACAAAAATAGTGCAGAAAGCAGCAATTTTTTTACAGAAAGGAAGAAGGACAAAACAGGGGAGGGGTATCCGCTGCACAAAGGACCCAACCGTCGACCTCCACACAACTTCACTCATCAGCGGCCTCCGTTCTTGACGTACCTTTCGCAAGCCACCGCGAAGCTCCGGCCGCACGACCTCCGGCTACCCACGCACCCGCCGCGCCACTGCGAGGCCTCTCCATCAACTTCCAACGCACAACCGTATCCTCCATACTCCAAGTCGCCGCATCAAGTCGTCGTTCCCGATCATCACTTGTCGGACCTACTACCAAAAAAAGCACACTTAGCTTTTTGGAATATTGGAGATCAGGTATTCGAGATAGGGAATTTGGGTTAAGGTTTGTTGAAATCACGGTTTGGGGTTTACTTGGGGGGTTTCGATTTGTTATTGTTATGCTGTAGAGAAAGAAGAAGGCCACCGCCGCCGGTGTTGAACATATTTTAGGGTTTGTGTTGTAAAATGGAGAGAGAGAGAGAGAGAGGGGTGGATTAGTAGAAAGAAAGAGATGAACATTCAGAGAAAAGAAAAACAAATTTAGAATTATAATTCTGTTATAATTCAGTAGACGCGCGCCCCATGCTCCATACCGTAATCTATCGTCAATCCAACACCCTTGCATGCATGTCGACAACTTGAATGGTACGCCTCCTCACACCTAACCCGAACAGATCAAAGGTGTGTTCACTGGGCTAGGCCCAATCGCTGTTCGCACCCTTTTTTTTTTACTGTTAGCATACAATACCCACCCCCTGGCCTTCTGGGCATGAATTCAAAATCTGAATTCAGGCCCTTCCTAATAGCACCCCCTAGTTTTACTACTATAATATAATTTACATCCCTCCACTAATTTATTTTTATTTATTAATTTCTTTTATGAATTCATTTATTTATTTATATTTTAAAAATTACAATATTGTGTATTATTGATTATTTTGAATAATTTAGTATGTTAAAACTCATTTAAAATACAATATTTATTTATATTAAATCATATCTTTTAACCACATAGTTAAAAACATTTCTCACCATATATTTTAATTTAATTTTATATCAAAATATTAAAACCCGCATGATTCACCAAATTACTACATCTGCGAGCGATACATGATCAATATCTGCTCACGTGGCAAGGAGACTATATCAAACTCCTTTGCTATACGTATAAAAAATACTCAAACGAACACCAAATTATTTATCATAATAAATTAAGTCAACATTAATTTTCGAAAAAGAATACAAATATATTTAAATTAACTGCGTGCTTGGTCTAACAAACTCTGCTTATTCACACTCTTAGACTACGTATGCGGGAAATTCAAAATATATTTTGCAATCCATAAAAAACACAAAACAATCGCGAACTACGAAATGGGTCTCTGATTCCTACTAAGAGGATATGTAGGCATACAATTAAAATCGTGGCGAGTCCCGCTAACTAAAATTCAAACCTTTTTCTAAAATAAGTAATTAAAACCCTATTTCCTAAAACATCGTGCTTCTAAACCTAGTATCCTTGTGAACAAGGTAGATGAAGGGTTCCTAACACCTTCTCTTCGTCTAGAACCGAGTCCAAATCTAGAATCTCTGAAATTTGTTAGGGTTATTCCTTATACTCCCTTCCTTTAGGATAAAAATTAAGGGTGGCGACTCTGAATTTAAAACCAGTTGCAACAGTTGGCGACTCTGCTGGGGACTCAACTCTAGGTTTAGAGGCCTTATCTTTTGGTTTTAGGGTTTTTTGGGTTTTTCTTATTTTTGGACTTTTATTCTTTCTTATTTTATTTATTCATTTATTTCTTGTTATTTAATTATTTATTTATCTGCTTATTTTTTTTATTATTATTTATTTATATATATGTGGTGGGGTTTAAATTTTGCAAAATTATTTTTAAAAACCCTTAGAAAGAAGGTTTGTCTATTAGCCAAGGGGTTACATTAACTCTATGAGTTTATATGACAACTTCGCCTAGAGTCAGTGGAATTCCACAAAAGGAATACATCTCGAGAGACTTCCTCTTGGGAAGTAGGACTTTGGAATGATACTTATGAATCTTTGTATGGCCTTCAAACCAAGACTTCATGATGAGACCTTTCATGACCTAGAGACGAAAGTTTCGGTCTGTAAAGAGACTCCAATTAAGAGAGGCCCTTGTGCCTTTACCTCTAGTGTTATTCATGATACCCTTATGGAAACCACCTTATGGGGAGGGTTGGATATTTATAGGCCAATACTGAGAACCTACCTTCTAAGGATACCTGTCACAAATCCCACTACAATCTTTAAACTAGCAAGGGTTATCCTTTCATCCACTACTATTTATTGCCCGTAGGGCTTCCATTCATATCCTCATCCCTATCTTGTAGGGACTCCTCATTGGCCATAATACGCAAGGTATTCCTACTTGTCTCAATCTCTAAGAAAGTGTAGGAAATCATCAAATCCATGTCTATTATCATCTTCGTCTGTAGGGAGTCGCTGCCTGTCTCAATTTGTAAGTCAGAGTAGGATATCATCATCAAACCTGTATAAGGTACCCCTATGTCTACCATCATACTATATCTACATTGCATTGCATATCCATACCCAAGCATTTTCATACATTTTCATTCTTCATCCATCTGCATAAAACTCACATCTTTTCCTCTCACATAAAATTTCCAACCAGAGTCCAACAAGGTGATTCCCAGATACTCAGGACGAACTCGAGATAACTCACGAAGCAAGTGTAAAGTTAGCTACAAAAATGGAATAAGGTCAACAGGCCACAACTGAAGACATCATTACACCTCAATAAAACACTCGGGATCGACCTCATCCTATACAAGCTTCGAACCTTGTTGTGCGAGAACATGCAGTTTTTCGAGACGGGTATACTCCATCTCATGAATCTATTGAGTATCATAAATTTGCATTCCCTACGCCAAAATCTCAAGGGGGAGACCTAATTATAAACATTAAAGAACCCCAAAATCTTGAGGACACCAAAAGATACCGCATGCTGGAAAAGAGGCTTAGCACCACAAAAGGACAAGATACTCATAGCTTTGATACTTATGCTTTATGTTTGGTTGAAGACGTGGTACTTCCTCCGAAGTTTAAGATTCCAGACATGGAAAAGTACAAAGGGACTAGTTTTCCTAAGACCCATTTGAAGATGTATGTTAGGAATATGGCAGCATACCCACGCGACAACAAATTTCTTATCCACTATTTTCAAGACAGTCTTAGTGGGGCATCATTGGAATGGTGTAAACAATTGGAAAGAAACTACGTTCCCACCTTGAAAGATGTGGCTTTTTCATTTCAGATACATTATCAATACAACATCGACATGGCTCTAAGTCGCATGCAATTGCAAGCTTTGTCTCAGAGGAGTAACGAATCTTTCAAAGAATATGCACAAAGTTGGAGAGAATTTGTTGCTCGAGTACAAGTGCCATTATTGGATAAGGTGTTGGTAGACGTGTTCATGAGCTCCCTACAAGGACAATACTATGAAAAAATGTTGGCTAATATACCATCACGCTTCTCTGACCTAGTAATAGTTGGGGAACGCATCGAGAACAGAATCAAAACCTGAAAAATCTGAAGCGTCTCGAGTAGCTCGACTAGTGAATCCCTTAGAGATTTCCAAGAGGAAGAAGAAAATGAAACAAATGCAATATGGTAAACATACCACGCTCCTGAAACTTCGTCTCCTATACCTTATCCTCAATATTTGTATGCAGTAGATGCTCAATACCAACAACCACCCTATGGTCTTCAACACCAGTATTCATGGCCTATACCATAGAACCAGCAGGTTAAGATTTCACATCAACGTCGACATCAGAATCAACAGGCGTGGAATCGAAACAATCACCATCATCGCCCGAATCAACATAGGCGTCTAAACAGTCGAGAAGGGGAAACTCGCCAGTTTGACCCGATCCCTATGACATACAATCAATTATGGTCATATATGGTCCAAAATTCATCAATGACCCCTAGACAAACCACATTCATGAAGTCTTCATTTCCTCATTGGTACAACCCGGATGTTAGATGTGATTTTCATGGTGGAGTAGCGGGGCATTCAATTGGAGAATGCAACTCATTCAAAGAAGCAGTACAAGAGCTGATTGATAATAAGCAATTAACCTTTGAAGAAGATGGCCCGCATATGATGGAAAACCCCTCGTCCTGATTGGTGGATCCTTACCAAAGCTTATCTGCAGAATAATTAGGCTTTATCATTTCAAATTGTAATTTCTTTCTTGTTAAGTGTTATTTGTTATAAACTTTGTACTCTTTGGTCAATTAATTCTAATAAATAAGCATGAATGTTTTTGAAATCGACAAAAAAACCAACGACTTTCCATTTTCACTCTCCTTTTCCCTTTTCAAATTAACAAAAATTCGACGGAGAATGATGAAAATACAAAATAGTCGAATTTTGCTGACATATGCTTTTTAATAGTAAGGCTTAGCTGATGATGTAAGGCATTGTTTCACTTCCTAAACAGTGGAGAAATAAGGTGTTAATCCGTAGTTAACCCCCTCGAGCCAGAAGTCGTAGTTCTTTTTATTCTCTAAAAAAACCTTAATCTTAACCAGGGCAAGGTAGATTTCAATTAATTCAATGGTGCATTCTATTCACGAGAGAATCAAGTCCATCTAAGAAAAGGTTCAGGAATATCTCCGTCCTTGATACATCGTTGAGGAAATGATCTAAGTAAAGGTTCAAGCACATCATCTTTCTCGCGTTCATCATCCAAGATTGGGGAATCAATGAAAACAAAGTCCACGGTGTCTTTCTTCCTCAAGAAATCAATCTAGAACGAAGAAGCGATGAAGACGAAGCTTACAACAATCAGCATGGCAGTCAAAAAATTTCAAAACTAAAAGCGAAAAAAAAGGAATTCAAAGAAAAAAAGTGAAAACCCGCTAAGTCAACAGAAATCAAATCTTGACTTAGGCAAAAGTTAGGGCATCCCGATGGATCAAATTAAAAAAAAATGGTCCATGCAAAAATAAGGGATTAAAAATAAAAATTTTGGAGAACAATCTTGTGACTACCACCTTAAGAATCATCAAGGCTTATTATCAATGCTCGGGTCTTAAGAACCTAGGTTTAAAGGTTTGCATGAAGTCCAAAGGTAAGTATCCTTCCCCATTTAAAGTTAAGTTTGCTCAACCTGTTCTAAAATAATAATCGGGTTCTAGGAATCTCATATCACCGATCTTTTTTACAAGCTTTATTTTAGCACGACAACTAGCTTGCCACCAAAATATCCTGAGAGTCGAATCTCAATGAGCGTAGCATCGAGTATCAATCAACCTTGGACTGCACCAAAGTCGACAATCTCACTACCTTCTAATGGCCAAGATGGGTCAATTAAGGTTCTAAAAGTAAGTTATTGCTAATGACACCACGCAGAAGCCTAATATTATCATTGACTGACTCAAGGAACATTGGTACAAACCAATGTGTCGCACTAACCGTAGCCATCATTTTAACCATATTACTCTACATCGTACAGTCTCGATGATCTATTACTACTTAACTAAGGAATTCCTAGATCTGGGTGTAGGATCTTACAAGCAATAATAATACC